AAGGCAATTTATTTAAGTATGCGATAAGCTCCCAGCTCTCACTTCCGTACATGGTGATGGGGAATATTATGGCTTGGATGATTCTAACTTTAGTGCTCAGTTGTATACCTTTACTTCTTAGAATCTGTCCTAGTTCTTTCACAGCTGCCCTCTCCCCATTCCTAGTTTAAAGATTATACTTGAGTTGAAAGTTTGAGGAGGGAATCTTTCTTGATTCAGCCTTGCTGAAAGACTGCCAGAAGTCAGGCTAGGAGGTTATACTGAATTTGGCCATTTTTGCATCAAGCTGCAGGGCTTCCTTGAACATTACAAAGACTGCCCTCCCTTCCCAAGACATCAGAGAAGCAAGTTGGATAATCTGCATTCTAAGAGGCTACTTCTGAAGGGTGCCCAAATGTTGCCACTCTGATGTTATGCTTATGGATAATTAAGGCTCAACATTGGACCCCTAATTCCACCTCAATGTCAGAAACAGAGGCTGACAAGAAAACTCTGAAGCAGCAGCTGCTCTTTTCATGGTGGTACAATAAGTATCTCTTTAATGGGAAAGGGTGAGGGGGTGGTAGGTTGTAGGGAGGGCGGAAAGCAAGGAAGCCAGAGAGTGCAAAAGCACCTGCTTCTATAAAAGACGCCACGGTGTTCTGGCACTGTACCGCTAATCTTCTGCCGCCTGTCACGTTAATTGTTACAAAGCTATAGTTGATATAAATCTATTTGTCCCTTGGCTAAGATTAATCAGGTTTTAAGCATCGCATTTATCTCCATGCCACAGAGCAAGGGAGGAGAATGCGTTGGCAAAAAAATTTATGCCATGGGAACCTGGAGGTTGAGGTGGCGGGGATATTTATGGTTGCCAAATCTTCTTGCAGGGGGTTAGGGTTTAAGGGAAAGGGGAGGCTCTTTTGTTGGTTCGCTTGCAATAGAGAAATGAGCTCACAGTGTTTACCACTGGAATTTGAGAGACTGATACAGAAGCTTTGATTCAAAGCATGTGGGGAATTACACCAAGCTCTATTCACATGGGGAGGGGGGCTTCCCACTTTTATTTCACATCCAGACATCTTCCATCCAGCATTCTCTTGAGAGCTGCTTTTCTTTCTGTTACCACCCAACAGCTTCTAACATGGTATGAGAACCAACCTAGTTTAGAGTTGCCAGTTCAGGATTGCCCCAGGTTCTGAGTTTCCAGGCCAAAATCTGAGACTAGGTATACATTATGCATTGAATACCAGCCACAGTTGGCCATAAATTGTCATTCACAGAGAGAGAAAGAGAGAACATGTTTCCAGTTTGGAAAGAAAGACAGAAATCTTAACTAAAGGGTCTCTTCCCAGATCAAGGTGAAATGAGATTATTCCTTAATTATTTATTAAAACATTTATATCCCCACCCTTTATCCAGAGATATCAGGGCAACATATAGTACAACCAATGTAACAAATTTAAAACAGTATAAATGATTATATGAGTTCAGCCAGTCGGCCAATCATTTTCATGTTTTTATTGCAGTCAATTGACCATGAGGTAGAGAACAAATAAAAAACAACAATACAAAATAGCATTTTAATATACAGTCGGCCCTTGACATTCACGGCTTTGACACTCATGGTTTTGATTATTCGTGAGTTCATCCCCACTGGTGCGCACACATGTACACATGCACGAATGCACTCCTCCCCCTGGCTTTTCCCCGGGGGGGGGAAGCCTAGGAGGGAGGGAGCAGCCAGGAGTGCACACACCAACATCACACTTTCCCCGGTGTGATAGCCGGCTCCTCACAGCCTGCTATTCCACCAGGGAAGACACGTGTGTGTTTGTGTGTGTGTGTGTGTGTGTGTGTGTGTGTGTGAGAGATCACTCCTCTCTACAATATACTGTATATACCCATGAATAGGTCTAGACATTTTAGTCAAAAATTGACATTAAAAAGCTGGCCTGACATATCCACAGGTCAATTCCACAGGTCAACGTAGATACTGTATTTTAACTCTTTCCCATCTCTGAGTAGAGCGGCAAAAGGTAAGAACACATCATTTTACATTATGCTGAGTATTTGTCACTCTAGCTTATTGCTATATGAGGAAACATGCATATAAATGGCAGTACGAAAAATATAAGGAAGTTTGTAAAAGGGGGGAAAAAACCCAAAACAAAAGCAATGTGAAAGATTTGTTGGGGATGAAGCTTCTGTGCTGATTTAGCCAAACCTCCAAGCAGAAAATCATCCTGCAGGATTCATTGTCCTTGTTCAATATTAAACACAATCTTTGCTGCTGTGAAGAATGAAGGCAAAGCTCATTGAAAACACACCCTATGTTTTGCAGATAATGTATATGGAAAGAATGCAGATAAAAGAGAGAAATTTTCAAAGGAAGCCACAGCAGGTGGGTGGCAATAATGTGCAATCACCCAGCATGCCTATAAAGTCCCATATTTACATATGCAAACAGGGCTATTGCATAAGCAAATCGAGACATAGAATTGTTCATTCTCTCATATCTCCCCCCCACCCAACTTTATTTTTCTTGCTCAGATGGAAGGTTTGATGGATTCCACGACAGTACCAGTATGTTTCATTGTGGCCATCCAACTGTCACGCGCCTGATATTCACTGAAATTTATAAGCACCACCTGGTCAGAAACAATTGCTAAGCCTGGTAATGCAACTTGATGGACAAAAGCTCTTTTGAAAAAAATACTTAGGTCATGATCTTGCTAAAAGTAACCTTATTTAAATTCCTGTTGTCTCAATGGAATATTTACAGGACTCATGCAAATCTTTCCTGCAAATACCAAGAAGACACATCCAGACCAGTTAAAAAGACCAGAAAGTCCCTGATTTTGTTCTTTCTGATAATATTTTGGAGATCCATATGCCTTTTGTCTATCCCAGAATAATTTCTGTCAGATCCTGGTATGATCAAATACTTTGTATACCAGCTCTGCAGATTGATTTATTTTAACCCAGTATAAAATTGGAGCCAGTATGGTATAGAGCAGGGGTCAGCAAACCCCGACCCATGGGCTGCATGCGGCCCGCAGAGGCCTTGGGACCGGCCCACCGCTGGTGCCGCTGCGGCATGCAGGTGCCATTTTGGCATCCAAAATGGTGCCTGCACTAGCGCACGCATGCACATGGCGGCGGGTGCCGTTGGGTGTTCCAAAATGGCGCCTGCCGCCATGCACATGCGTGCGCTAGTGCAGGCGCCATTTGGATGACAAAATGGCACCGCACTCATGCATGCATGCACATGGTGGCGGGCACCATTTTGGAAGGCCCAACGGCACCGGCGCCATGTGAATTCGCATGGCGTCAGCACCTTTGGGCCTTCCCAAATGACGCTCTGCATCGTGCGTATGCGTGCGTGTGGGGGGCGGCATTTTGGAATGCCCAATGGCACCATGCGCACACGCCATTTCTCCCCTCCTCCCAGCAAAAGTTGCCGACCCCTGGTATAGAGGTTTGAGAGTTGGACTAGAGCTGCTGCTACACTGTAGAATTAATGCAGTTTGATATCACTTTAATTGTCATGGCTTCATGCTGTTCAACATATATATGAAGCCGCTGGGAGAGATCATCTGGAGACATGGGGCAGGGTGCTATCAGTACGCTGATGACACCCAGATATATTTCTCCATGTCTCGGTCTACAGCTTTGAATTCAGATGGCATCTCCCCTCTCAATGAATGTCTTAAAGCAGTAATGGACTGGATGAAGAAAAACAGATTGAAACTGAATCCAGACAAAACGGAGGTACTAACGATAATGGCCCCAAACCCAGGTATTGGGACACAATCTCCAGTCCTAGATGGGGTTACACTCTCCTCAAAAGACTGTGTTTGCAGTCTGGGGGTGCTCCTAGATCTGTCGCTTCAAATGACAAATCAGGTGAATGCGGTGGTCAGGAGCGCCTTCTATCAGCTTTGGCTGATGCGCCAACTGTGCCCTTTCCTGGAGGTTAGGAACCTCGAAACCGTGGTACATGCACTAACTTCTTGTCTTGATTTCTGCAGTGCACTCTACATGGGGCTACCCTTGTGTCTAGTTTGGAAACTTCAACTGGTACAGAATATGGCAGCCAGGCTGGTCCTAGGTAAAACCAGGAGAGACCATATAATACCTATCCTAAGATCACTTCACTGGCTGCCTATTAGTTTCTGGGCGCAGTACAAAGTTTGGTTATTACCTTTAAAGCCCTAAATGGCTTGGCTCCAACATATCTTTGGGACTGCCTCCTTCCATATAATCCACCACATGCTCTAAGGTCCACTGGGAAGAATTTATTGCAACCTATAAAAACTAGATTATCTGCAACTG